TTGTTAGTCCTTCTGGCCAATAACACTACTCATCAGATGTGACTCATGGGAGTCTCACCACAGTGGGGGTTGGGTGGTCTGGAGGGGAGTCCACTGTTTGTTCTTGTGCCGTAGCTGACTAGTCTGTGAAGTGGGAAAAAATGAAATAATGGGTATAAGTTACCCAACAGGGCCATGGCATGCAGGGGGAACTCCATCAATATGTCTTTCCCTTTTCTTTGTTTTTAATTAATCTACTGATCAAAAACACTGCTGAGACTTAGACGAAGGAAAAGGGACAAGGGAACAGGAACAGGTGGAAGGCACTGATGAAGGAACGCTCAAGGGAACATGAAATGTTTTTCCAGAGAGTGGAGGGAACTGACTTCATCCAGTCTCCCCGACCTCGTTTCTTCGGCTACAGCTGCACTGTCCTCTGCCCCAACCCTCCTGCCAAGGAGCCTTTGCACTTGCTGCCCTGACAAATGTCCCTCACTCCACCCTCAGCCCCACTCATGCACAGGTGATTTCTCTCCACATGAATCTTTTCTGCAGGCTTTCCTTCCCACTTGCTCCATGTAGGGGGAAATACTTCACCATTAAACAGACTTTTCATAGATTCTCTTCATTGGGTCATTATATCTATTTTTCTTGAAGTTATTAATGAGTTTAAATTTTACCTCTCTTTTAATATATATTTAATTCTAAAGTATTTAAAGCTACAAAGTTTTCTCTAAGCACCGCTTTGTCTGTTTCCCACAAATGTTGATATGATATGGTTTCCTTAACCATTCCATTGATTCCTTCTTAGAGAGATATGTTATTCTGAGGCTTATTTATTTTTCATATGGATGGGAGTTTTTCTAGATATCTTACTTTTCTTCATTTCTAATATTCTGTTGTAGCTAGCAAAGATATTCTGAAAGATTTCAGTATTTTAAAATTTACTGATATCTGTTTTATGGTTCCATGTGTGGTTAATGATTAATGTCCTTTTCCAATAGTAACCAATATTCAAAAGTATATGCATTTGGTAGTTGATGGCAGTGAGTTTGGTTTGTGTGTTTCTTATAGATAGAATATAGATGGGACTTGCTTTTTATATCTATTTGGCAGCCCCTGTCTTTTATTTACTTCTTCACCCATTTTAACAAAGTGTCTTTTATTTGAGGGAGCTCTGGTGGCATAGTGCCTAAGGCATTTTACTGCTAATCAGAAGGCTAGTGATTCAAACTCATCAGCCACTCCTTGGAAGGAAGATTGGGCAACCTACTTCCATAGAGATACCACCTCGGAAACCCAAGGAGGGGTCTGTTTAGCTTATTAACATTTAACATAATTACTGATGTGATTATATTTGGTTCTATCATGTTGTTATTTTTTCTATCTTCCATCCTGCTTTATTACTCCTCATTTCTTTCTTACATGCCCTTTTGTGCTAATTCAGGATTGTTAGTAAACCTCTTTATATTAATTTGTATTCAAAATAAATAAATAAATAAAATTCACTGTCATCGAGTTGATTCAGACTCACAGCAACTCCCACTGCATTTCCAAGGCTGTACATCTACACAGCAGCGGACCACTTCATCTTTCTTCCACAAAGCAGCTGATAGGTTCAAACCACTGATCTTTTGTTTAGCAGTCAAATACCTTAACCATTACACCACCAGTAAAGTGGCTGTAGGACTTCACTATCCAATATGGTAACCAACCAGAAGGCTGGCAGTTCAAACCCACCAGCCACTCCTCGGAAGGAAGGTTGGGCATTCCTACTTCCGTAGTGATACTGCCTCGGAAACCCAAGGAGGGGTCGCTATGAGTCGGGGCCGACTCGATGGCAAATAACAACAACAACAAGACCAGGCAGCTGTTTGGACTATTGTAAAGTAACTAAAATTAAAAATTGCATTCCTCTCACTAGCCACACTTGAAGTGTCTAATAGCCACATGTGGTGTGATTGGTGGACAGAACAGAAAAAGAACATCACCATCTTTACAGAAGAATCCGTTGGATGGCATTGCATTAGGATTTAGAACATGCATCTTTAATTTCACACAATTCACATAGAGGTAATACTGTACCACTTTAAGTAAAATATCAGCACCTTACAATTGTTCATTTGTGTATTCTTTGTCCTACAGTTGTTAAGTGCATTATAACTAAGTGCATTATATTATGAACGCTAATAGTGCGTAAGGTATTTGACTGCTAACCAGAAGGCTGGCAGTTCAAACCCACCAGCCACTCCTCGGAAGGAAGGTTGGGCAATCTGCTTCCATAGTGACACCGCCTCAGAAACCCAAGGAGAGGTCGCTATGAGTCAAGTCCGACTTGATGGCACATAGCAACACCACTACCACCATAGAATAGTATAATTGGCCTTTTAAAGAAATTAATGAGAAAGTTAATATGTGTATTTTTATGCACACAGCTACCATTTCTGATTTTCTTAATTCTTTCTAGTGCATTTTTCTCCCATCTAGTGTATTACCCTTCACCTGAAGACCTCCCTTTGGCATTTCTGAAAGAACAGGTTTATTGGCACTGAATTCTCTGTGATCTGAAAATAAGTTTCTTTCATCTTCATTTCTGAAGGATATTTTCGTTGGATACAGATTTGGGATTTTTTGTTTGTGTTTTTCTTTTAGCACCATTAAAATGTCCTTCTGGTATCTCATGGCCTCCATTTTTCTCTGATGACATGTCAGTTGTCTTTCTTATCATTGTTTCCCTTTAGCTGATGAGCCACATTTTCCCCACTGGCTGTTTCCTCTTTATCATTAGTTTTCAGCAGTTTTATTTGTGCTGTGTTGAGGTGTTTTTCTTTACATTTACCCTTTGTTCAGTAACTGAGCTTTAGCTTTCTTAAACACATTTATGAATTTTTAAATCTTAATTTCTTCAAATTCCCTTTTCTGGCCTCTTTTTCTGTGACTCCAGTTTGAGGTATGTTAAATTGCTTATATTGTCCTATATGTCACAGAGATTTTGTTCATGGTTTTTTCAATTCCTTGCTTTCTCATCTTCAGATTGGATAATTCCTCTTTTTCTACATGGAAAGTTCCTAATCAGCTTTTAAGCACATCTGATGATGTTTATCTGAGATATTGTACTTTGAATTTCTACAGTTTGTATTTGATTCTTTCATATCATTTCTTTTCTTTCTTTAACTGACCTATCTATTCATACATTGCAGGCATATTTCCCTTTAGTCTTTGGACGTATTTGCAAACACTGTTTTAAAGTTCTTAATCTAATTCCAAAATCATGAAGTTAGTCTATTTTGTGTGCTTTGTACTTATGTATGAGCTGTATTTCTCTGTTTCTGTACACATCCAGTAATTTTTTGTTGTGTTCTAAATATTTCACAAGATACATTGTAGAGTCTGGATTCTGATATCTGCCTTTCAAAAAATGTTGATTTATGTTCTATCAAGTGTTTAACTTGCCTGGAATGAAACCCCAAACTCTTTCTTCCCTGAGGTGGGCTGCAACTGACATCTCAATGTAGTTTTTTTGGTTTCCCCAGTGTTGTTTTCCATCAATTTCCTTGGAGTCTCTCTCTCTCTCTCTCTCTTTCTCTCTCTCTCTCTCTCTCTCTCACACACACACATTTACATACACATTCTCTCTCACACGCATGTATGTGCACACACACATATACATTTCAGGGCCCAGGGAACCCTTTTATGCTGATTTGGGGATTTTCCACTCTATAGACCCCTACATCCCAGATCTCCCACCTCATTTTCCAGCCAATTTGGAACCCCTAAAATCCCTGTCTAACTTCAAGTTTCTGCTTCAGTTTAGCAACCCCATATGGGTTCAGAAGGACCCATGGTTAGAAAGCCAAACAAACAGAAATCTTCAGCAATATGTTTCACTCCATCTGAGGATGCACAGGTCAGTTTTAAGTAGGGAGGCTTTCTTTCTTGGGAGCCCACCCTGGCCTCAGTGAAGGACATATTGGAGGGGTTGGAGTGAGAAACTCGACATGAAGGAAGTGACAATAAGTCTGAAGTAAATAAGTAGCTGAGGCGGTGAGAAGTAGAATATTTACAAGCAGTGTTATAGGGTTTGACTTGTAGGGCTTGGTGACTAGCTGGATGAGAGAGAAGCACTCTGTAACAGAATATCATGTGCTCATTGAACGAATGTCTTTGCAGTACCCACTGTGGCCAAGAGTTCCCAATGTGTCAATGGGCTAAAGAGGCAATTTCTTGCCTCACACAATGTCTGTCCAGGGAATTGGGGTCCCTGAGTGTCTGCCTGGGTAAAGCATTCACTGAAGAAAAACACCAGGAGCACTGTAGGTGAGGGCACTGAGTTCAGCTGTGGCCATGGTGAGGTGGAAGGGCTTTTAGCTCAACAAGTCAGAAAACCAAACAAGGACTTAGGGTTCCCAGGTCTGGGGTCTAGGAGTGAGATCTCCCAGAGGAATGGATGCAGGAAATGCCAGACTAGGGGGACATTAGCCATGGTGTGGAAGCGTTGGGCCACAGTAGGCACAGGACTAGAAAAGATGCCATTCACACTGCCCCACACTGGTGAGCATCAGCTTCTAAGAGTGTGGATCTGAGTCAGGGTTGTGAAGGGTGCCACCAAAAGAGGCCACCTCGAAGTGTGCACCCTACACAGGGAATGGCTGCAGGAGCAGGAGGTGACACAGGGCAGGGCAGTGCTTCCTGACTGCGGGTGGCAGAGAGCAGCAGGCTCCTGTGAGAGGGGCCCCGCTGGGTTTACCTGGGTGTGGGTGCTGTGAGGGGACCAGGCCTGAACACAAACCTAAAGGACTCAAGTTCCTCACAGTGGCAAATGAGAAGTAAAGACAGGAGGTGAAATGTAGTTGCAGAGGCATGGAGGGTGGAGGTGAGGAGATAAATGGTTGCTCACAGGGAAAACAAACTCATCTCTTCCTTTTCTGGTCACCCGTGAACTCATGATTTAAAGTAAGTATTGTGCAACCCCTTGTTAAGACCTGCAGGTTTTCCAGAGTGACAGCCAGCCCTCAGGTACCATGGAGCCTGATGGGACAACAAAGTCCAACAAGACACTGGTGACAGAGTTTGTGCTGCAGGGGTTCTCAGAGAACCCTGCACTGAGGCTGCCACTGCTGGGCTGTTTTCTGGCACTCTACATCATAGCTCTCAGTGGTAACATTGTGATCATCACAGTTGTGGGCTGTAGTGCTGGCCTCCACAGCCCCATGTACTTCTTCTTATTCAACCTGGCCAGCATGGATATTATCTGCACCTCCACGATCCTGCCCAAGGTTCTGGAGGGCCTGGCTTCACAGGAACACACTATCTCCTACTCAGGCTGCATGGCCCAGCTCTTCTTCCTCATCTGGTCAGCATCCTCCGAGCTGCTGCTGCTCTCAGTCATGGCCTTTGACCGCTATGTGGCCATCTGCCGCCCACTGCACTACCGCACAATCATGAGCCCGCAGGTATGTGCAGCATTTGCTGCCGGGGTGTGGGCTATCTGTGCCCTGAATGCCTCTGTCCACACGGGTCTGATGGCACAGTTGACCTTCTGTGGCCCCCGTGTCATCACACACTTCTTCTGTGAGATCCCCCCACTGCTGCTGCTCTCCTGCAGCCCCACGCGAGTGAACAGCATCATGACTCTCCTGGCTGATGGGTTCTATGGCCTCACCAACTTCATGCTCATCCTGGCCTCCTATGGCTGCATCGTGGCCAGCATCCTGCGCATGCGCTCTCGGGAGGGCAAGAGTCGTGCCTTCTCCACCTGCTCCTCCCACCTCATCGTGGTCTCTGTGTACTACACAGCCGTGTTCTGTGCCTACATCAGCCCGGCCTCCAGCTACAGCCCTGAAAGAAGCAAAGTGGCTGGGGTGCTATACACGGTGCTGAGCCCCACTCTGAACCCCCTGATCTACACGCTCCGGAATGGAGAGGTCCAGTGTGCCCTGGGAAAGCTCCTGCCCTTCTGCCAAAGGTGATCTGAGAGCAAGAATCATTATCCCCACCCATTTCTTATCATGGATGCCAGGCCTGAGATGACTCTGGTGTGGGCACTGGTTGTGGGTGCAGCTTTGCTAGGTGGCTGGTTTACTTGGACCTGTAGCCAGTGCCTCCCCTCAGAGTCAGCCCCAGGATACATGCACCTATAAAGCGAAGATCCTGGTGGAAACAGCCTTGTCTCCTCATGGGCCCTTGACCACTAAAATCGACCCCTGGTCTTTCTTGATCCACTTCTTTAGCTGTCCCCTCCTTCCATGCCCCCAAGCTCCAACGGAAAGAAGCACAGTCCATGAACAGCTGCTCCTCACTGCCCACACCTGCTGTCAGTCTCACCTCATACCCCCCTCAATCTCACCCAGCTGATCCCTAGGTCTTCTATCCTCTTCCTCAAAGAGCACAACCCTGGTTGTGCCTCTGCTGGCTGGTGTCCCACCCTACTGTGAACTCTAAGTCTACTAAGTGATTCCTTGTCTCTTCCAGGAGATAGGGCTTCCTTGTGACATGGTTCTTGTGTGGCATTGGTGTTTCACGGACAATTAATGGGTGCAATGCTGTGCATTACTTAACATGGCTCTTCTAGCCATGGTCTTTGTGACTCTCACCAGATGCCTACATGAGACTATGAAAATATGAGGTGTTTATGGCCCACCAAGACAACTGGATAAATTGTCAGTAATGTAAATGAGGTACATAGTGCCCTTGTGTGGATGGGGCCATGCAAATTAGGCGTAAGGAACCCTAATGTGGGGACTGGTCAGCGTTGCCATCTCACTAGGCTTAAAATAAGCCATCCCAGAGACAGAAAGTGAGATCTCACTACCATCAAGATAAGAATCAGGAGTGAGCATGTCCTTGGACCAGAAATCCCTGCATGGAGTGGCAGAGAGACAGTGGCAGCAGAAGCAGCAGAACTGAGCCTGGCATGAGGTAGAGTGAGGAACTTCCTGGCCCATGGAGTGAGAAAGATGAGCACCTTCAAGCAAGAGATTTGCTGGCACAGTGGGGTGCCTCTCTGGGCACCTATTTGCGGAGATAAAAGAGCTTTGTAACATTTGCCCAAGGAGGGCAGAGGCTGAGGTAAGCCTGAGGCCAGAGAGAAGCATGTCTGCAGCACAGCTAAGAAGCTGTTCTGATTGAAGAACTGTATCCTGAATTCTAATCTTTAATTGTAACCAGTTACTTCCCTAATAAACCCCATTATCATGAGCATTATCTGTGAGTCCTGTGTGGTCATTGCAATGAATGATCAAACCCAGAAGAGAAATAGAGAATGTTATTGGTGGAAGGGACAGTTGGTATCAGATTTCATTAAAAAAAAAAAAAAAAAAGAAGAAGAAAAAGGTTGGAGGGTGGCTGCATGACTGACCTCTGTGTTATAGGAATCAGCCTTGGGCTGTTGATTTTGATTCTCTCTATCACTTGAGAAGTTAGAGGAAATCAGATGAGGCCCTCCAACACCATTTTTGCAATGGGCATAAGTTATAACCCTGCTCCAGGGGCTCCACACTGTGTGTGTGAGAGTGCATTGATGCAGTCATTGCTGTCCTGGTGACTATATCACAGGGTGGTGGGTCTGAGGGTAGGATCCAGGACCCCTGTAGTGACTGGGGGTTCTGTAATACAGTTTTTTCTTAAAACTCTTTCCTGACTCAATAGAGGTCCCTGGCTGGAGGCTGGTTCCCCTTCTTGAGCACCTGATTAAGTCCACATCCCACCTCTCCCTTTGTCTTGTTCTCACACTCCTGGGCCACTCTGTACCTGCCTTAATCATCCAGGGCCAGGTACCCAACAACTAGGAATAACCTCTATGCTCTGGAGCCTGTGGAACTATTAAAAATGCCCAATACCCAGGGTGTCTGGAAAACTAGCAAACCTTTGGCTATACATAAGCCATTTCCTACAGTTCCAGCTTGGTGTTATCTTGTCCCCATGTATCCCCTTGTGTGTCCCTACCTGAGGTCCCTGTGTTTGAAGTGGTAAGTGACAGCAAATCTACCTTTCATTCCTCTGAGAGTCTTGTGTTTTGTCCCATCACCAGAGACCCTAGAACCCTACCTGACACCAACTCATTATGAAACAGGTTGGCTAGGAGTGCAGGGCCCAGACTGACTCCCTCTAAGTGCCTGCACTGGACCAACTGGGTCCAATTGGAAGAGCTGTTCTGTGGGTTCTCCCCCTTGTAAGTTCTTTGATTCATCCTCAGCACCTACAGATTCTCCATGTCTAGACACCCACTTCAGTCTCACATCAGTGTCACCACCACGGCCAGAGACCTTTCATATTGCCCAGGCTCCAGGTCCTATCACTTTTTGGGAGCATGCCCTGCCCATTTCCCTCTATGTCCTCTGAGTGTTGCTTGAAATCACCCACACATCCATGTGTCTGTACATCTGTTCCATTTGTAGCCAACACACACTTTTGGCTATGGCTGTTCTACTTTCTCCATGAAACTCTTAAAGAGACCTTTTGTTATGGGACCAAACGTGGTCTCTGCCCGGTGCACAGTCAGGCCAAAACACTTTACACACCGAGATTGAGAGGAGAGAAAATTATTTATTCCAAAGTGGCAATGCAAGGAGTAGGGGTAGTTCAGTACCCAGATCTGACTCCCCGAGATGCCATGGAAATAGTTTTTGTAGTTTTCAGGGGAGAGGGTTATGCATATTTACAAAAGGTTGAGAAATTTGGGGTGTGAACATGAAATGGGTGACGATTGCTGGAGGCAGATGAGTCACACTAGCTTTCTGTCATCAGCTGATAGGGGCTTGAGCAGAGGGGAGAGGGTCCGCAATTAACTTTAGTTCCTTTTTGCCATATTGTGCATGTCCCCAAGCCAGAGTTAATTTACAAGCTGTTTCTAAGATACTTTTAGCAGTCTATCACCTGCAGGAAAGAATGTTTTCCATTCAGTTCTTTAAGGAACTGAATATACATCTGTCTGGGGTGGGAAAATGTTGTTGTTGCTGTTAAGTACCGTCAAGTCATTTCCGACTCATAGCGACCCCATGCACAGCAGAACGAAACACTGCCCGATCCCTCGCCAGCCCCACAATCCCTGCAATACTTGAGCCCATCATCGCAGCCACCGTATCAATCCATCTCCTTGAAGGCCTCCCCCTCATTCATCGACCCTCCACCCTACCAAGCATGACATCCTTCTCCAGGGAATGGTCCCTTCTTACAACATGACCAAAATAGGTGAGACGAAGTCTG